GTATTTATAATTATTTGTATGAGGGGATTTTAAATGCTGATTAGGAGATTTTGACCAAATCAATAAATGCAGGTATGTAGAAAGACATGTGAATTGGAAAAAGTTAATAAATGCTGATAAGGGAATTTTGACCAAATCAATAAATGCTGATTTTTTTTTTTTAAATAAAAAATTAAAAAAATTCAGATTGAGATATTGGAGCTCTCACAGAACTTGGGGGTTAGAAACCCCTTTTTCTTAATATAGAGAGAAAAAATTGGTGTGAGACGACAGGAATGGAGACGTATAGAGAAAGAAAAAATTACTATAAGACACTGAGTGAGTAATGTTTCAACTATCTTGATATGGAATTCAGATAGTAGTGTGAATTTTGAATATTTTTTGGCCATGTCACATGTACTTTCTGTTTTATCTTTATAATGAATTTATCTCTATTCCGTAAATGTAACCATTTAAGCTTAACCACAATAAATATTAGTATTTCTTTGTGTATGCGTATTTTATTGAGGATTACTTCCATTGTCACATGAGTTCTTATTTATAAAGGGGGATTTATTTCTAATACAGCCACCCCTGAAACTAAACGTAATTTACTTTTTCAAGTGCATAAGATATTAAAATGTAGGATAAACTACTAATGGATCCTAATAGTTTAACTTAATTTCCATTAAATCATATCGAAAATAAGTCATAGCAAAATCGTCGTTAAAAATATTTTTTTATGACAATTTTTTTTGCATATTGCTAAAATTTGACAATTAGTGACTTTTTTTGTTATAGTTTTTATAAATTGTCTCTAAAATTTAGAATTAGTAACGTTTTTCTACGACGAATTTTTTAAACTGTTGCTAAAATTTGAAAATTAGTGATTTTTTTTTGACATTTTTTTAAATTATCACTAAAACTTATAATTAGTGACTTTTTTATGGCAAATTTTTCAAACTGTTGTTAAAAATCAATAGTGACGCTTTTTAATTGTGTTTGATAAAAAATACAATTAATTATCATAGAATAATAAGTTTACTTATTAGGACCTTACTCTAAAACATAACTATAAGAAAGAAAACTCAAATCTAATTACTGAAATTGTCATTGGATTAGAATTTGAATTGTACCAAAGAACAACTTGTGTGAATTTGAAACAAATTTACAATAAAATGGGACCCTCTGTATAATTTAAGCAACATAAATGTCACCTAACAAAGCAACGTATAATACAAAAAGAAAGCAATTGACAACTGTCAACTCGATGATAATAAAATCCAAATTAGCAGGGGGGTTGTTATTTTTGGCAGTGGAGGACCATGGAGATAGACTCGTGGTTTGAAGGGTTGGTTATTTTTGGGGTTGTGGAGGTGAAATTATTGGGTGGTGGTTTGGCTGTATAGAGGTCGAGTGTGGGTTGCTCTGTTAATAATGAATAAAGAAGAGAAGAGAAAGATGGTGTGGTGTATATAATTATTAATTCTCTTGTTATTTTAAAAAATGAAATTTAAATTATTTCAATTGAAGAAGGGCACTTTCGGCATTTTAAAATGTTAAAGTAGTGACATCAGCTTAATTTGTTAGGTCAACTCACAGTTAACTAATAATAGATGCGTTTGGAGGGTCTCAAAATGGCCGCAGACAATATAGTTGATATTATTTTAACTTGTTAAATTCGTTTCATGGTATGTCTTAATTTGTTTGAGTGTTCAATCTATTTCAATTCATAAAAGATGATTTAAGATTTTAGATAAAGATTTATAATTTGAATTTGCCCATAAACTTGACCCGTAAGAGCCAGCACGGGTAAGTCTAATGTTTAGTTTGATTTTTTTATGTCTAATGTTTAGGATATTTTTATTTTTATTTTTATTTTTATTTCAATCATGTTTGAATTTTTTTTTCTTTCTGTTTTTTTCTCTCCACTTGTAGGTATTATATATTACTTGATTTTTTTTTATTATATGAAATGTAAAAAGATTTTAAAAAAAATTAAAATACTTGAATTATGTTAGAGAGTAAACAATAAAAATAATTAATGAAAATATTAAAAATATGTGAACGAAAAATATGTAGAACATAATAATACAAGTATAATGAAAAATGTGTCGTCTGGTTTGATTTAATTTTAGCCTGTAAGATTTGAAATTATGAGTGAGATATGATTTTAGTTTTTTAAATATGCCCAACTCGTACCAGTCCGTTGACTAGTCAAAACTCTAAAAACACGTTAAAATATGATATTTAGACACAATAATTGTGAGCTGTGTAATCTCAATCCGTCCCATTGATAACCCCTAAACGAGTCTATATATGTTCCATAAAATTCTAAATAAGTAACGTTAATGCTATTTTAGAAAAAAAAGAGGGTGATAGTGATACTTCAAAAGAATCAGGGTATCAGTCAGTGTAATTTACTATTTTGTATATTAATAAAGCTTTGTAGCTCGAAATTTCAACCACAAATGGCCTGAATTTTAGCACTCTCTACCAAACAAGAAAGAGAAAAGATAAAAAAAAAAAAAAACTTTCCTCATCTCGGGCTTGTTTGGTTTGATTTTGGGAGATGAGTTTGGGAGATAAAAAGTACGAAAAGTTGTTTGGTTTGGTTTTTTTGGAAAGATGTTTTGGAAAATTATTTTGAGAGAGAGTTTTGGAAAAAGTGATTGATTTGATGTGTATGAGAGAGAGATTTGTTTGAAAAACTTGTTTGGTTTACAAGTTTTGGGAAATTTTTTTGGAAAAATTTGTTTGGTTTGAATTTTTCTGAAAACTCATTTGTAGAGAAATTTTCTCAAAAATTTTTGGGAAATTCAAACCAAACGATGTGTGTGCGCAGGCGTGTGTGACCACTTCCATTAGTCCATTTTAGTAGATACGCAGCTTTACTCTCTCTCTTTCTTTCTCCGTGACCATCTTGTGGTGGGTTTGATAGTTTTTAGAGAGAGAAAGTGATTTTGCTTCAATTTTGTGGTGGATTTGGTAGTTTTTAGAGAGAGAAAGTGATTTTGCTTCAATTTTGTGGTGGATTTGGTAGGTTTTAGAGAGAGAAAGTAGAGGAAGCTGAAGAGAAAGGAGTTTGATAGTTTTTAGAGAGAGAAAGTGGATTTGTTAGAGAGAGAAAGTAGAGAAAGAAGAAGAGGAAGCTGAGATTTAACACTACAAACCCACTCCGCCCGCTTCCCATTCGGCTGGCAAAGCCATCTCCGACGTTCTCTCTTCCTCTTCTGTTCCTCCTTTTCCTCTCTTTCTCTTGTCGTCACCTCGCCTCTCTGTGTATTAGAGTTTGGTGTTTGAGAGTGAAAAGAGAGGGGGAAGGAAAAACAAAGAACAAAAAAAAAAAAAAAATCCAAAACAATGTCATTTTGACACATTTGAGGTAGCCAATTTTTGAGCTACCCAACAGAACTGATTTATAATACATGTCATAGAAGAAGTCATTTGTGGACTAACATGCACCTTATCAAAAATTGTGTAATTTTATTATAAAATTTTGTAATATTAATCATAAAATATATAATTTTATCACAAATTATTATAACAAAATGTCTAAAATTTTGTGGTTTATGTAATAAAAATTTGTGACGTACTTACGACATTTTTTGTTATGTTAATTTGTAACGAAATAATATATTTTGTGATTAATGTTACCAAATTTTATGATAAAATTATGTTAATTCATAATAGAATACATATGATACACACCCCTTCATGGGTGTGTACACAGACAACCAAACATAGAACCAAATACAGAAACTGTTCATTCGGATGACCGCCCAAACAACCGGCCAGAGCTTGTTCATCGCGGCTGTGTTCTTGTCTTCCAATTGTCTAACCGATCATCTGAATGAATAATTTCTATGTTTAGTTCTCTATGTGCGTAGCATCACTGAACTCAACACAGACCCAAACCATTTACATCTCAAATCGCATACAACATGAGCATTAACCTCATATGATTGCTACGGGGAAAGAAAACAATTTATAAACAAAAAATTTGTACATGAAACTTATCTATATTATTATATAAAGTGAGCTCTTAACTTGATTTCTTAAAATTTTTGCCATGTGACATTTATGTAGGAACTCAATAAACCAATTATAATCAATCACTTCTACATTCTTACTTTTCCACGTTTATCTCCCAAACTACTGTACAGTTTCAAAATCACTTCTTATTTTGTAAATCAAAATTTTAAATTTATTTGTTATAGCTAATAAGATTCAATTTATTTTTTATATTTATTGATTAGCAGTTTATTATTTGTAAATAAATAATAAGATTCTAAAAAATATTAAATTAAAAAAAAGAAGAAGATAGGATATCTTGAAAAATTATGTAGAAATATAATTTTAAATTTGGTTAAGCAAATAAAAAAAAAAATTATAGATAAGAGGACACCAAAAGATATTAAAATTAAAAATAAATATTATAATTTTTTTCGAGTTAAACGCATTACATGTATCCCACCACTAATTCAAAGTAATAGAAGTGACATTTTTGGGGAAAGGGTGTGGGTAAATTTAAATTATCAGTGATTTGACTTGAAATGAATTGATTATAATAAACCATAGAGTAATTCTGATTATTTGGTGAATTCATTTACTACTTTTTTTAATTTTTTTTAAAAAAAATTTTAAGTTTCTAAATTCAGCTAGGCGAGACAAACAAGAAAATCAAAAACAAATTTTAAAAATTTCAAAAAGAGTCTGGAAAGATAAAAATAAACCAAAAATAGTACTTTCTTTTTATACTTTGCCTTATTCAAATTTTTTTTGGAACTTTTAAAATTTGTTTATACAAGATAAGTATAACTTTTTGACATAATTTTGAAAAAAAAGTCACTAAGACCCCCAAAAAAATAAAAAATAAAAAAAATGAGAAGACTCTTTTAGGTCTTCCCAAACACCATCTAAAGTTCACACCACACCTATTTTGAATTCTTCAAATTTTATTTTTTTTTCTTAATTCGCACCATCTTCTAAGCAATTAACACCAATTCTGTACAAATACAGGACATGAAAAGTATATCATAGAAGTCAAGATCTACAAATTTGCTATAAACCACACAACCTGAAAGAGAACATAAAACAATTAAAAGAAGGCAGAAGAAGAAGATGTACATAATAACACTGAAGTACAAGAGAAGATTCAGGCCAACAAAAGGGCCGTTTGGCATTTCAAAATCGGTCAAATGGAAGTTTTTTTAATGGTTATATCGAAGATATCCAATGGAAAGTAGTAACCATCATGCCATGTTTTCTTCACATTAGGCAGGCATAGGTTCCTCCATGGCTGTATAATTAAAACCAAAAAACCAAATCAAAATTTAAGGAAAAAAAGAAGTTAAACAATATATGAGAGAGAGAGAGAGAGACCTCTTTTCTTTTCGGAAACTTCAGCTGAAGCATCTTGTGCCTCATCAGCAACCACCTTGGGAGCAACCGGTGCTTTTGTTGGTACATCAGGAAGGTCCAACTCATCTTCAATCTCTTCGGTAACAAGCTCCTTAGAAGGAACTTCCGGCAGATCTTGGAGCGCCATCTGGCAAAAAGAAACCAGTTTTCCCCCATTAGATGCGAAAAACCAAAAATCAAAAGGATGGTCTTGCAAATAACAAATTCTGAAACATAACACCTACAAAAGATGCATACATATTGGAAGCAAACAGAAGATGGAAACAACATTAAATCAATCATAGAAGAACTAGTGAAAAAATCAAACTTCAATGGATAAAGCTGAAGAAGAAGACAACCCAACACAATCTCCCATCTTTAAAAGGTTTATTGCAGCAAATGTGTGGTAGTTCAATATGGTAACATGTAGTTTCTTCGCTTTTGTCATTGTGTGTTAAAATACTTATCAAAACGGAAGAGTTACAAGTGGAGGGGCTACTAGTCGCCATGTTACGTTCCCAGCAACGAGTCTATTTCAATTCTCTTTCAACCAAAATACAAATGGGCACAAGGGATCTAATCCTCATGAACTTCACATTGGTTCATATCAAATTTAGCATCCAACAGATCCAACCTAATGAATAAAGAATGTTCATGCAACGTACAAAAGTGTAAATCCAACAAGCTAGTTACCCAATATCCTTCTGTTATTCGGACTTCTAAATGCAATAATGTACACCTTATCTTATATGTTAAGTTGCTTTGCTTGATTTGGAACCCTAAATATATCGTTGATCCCATTTCCTAACAACTTAAACTTTTGAGACAATTGGTTTCTTAACATAGTATCAAAACTCAAGTCAAGAAAGTCTTAGGTCAAAGACTCTCTGTTTACATTTGTTCTCCGTTTGCATTCCGCTTCAATCTATATGTTTATTGCATCTCCACCATGCAAGACAGGATTGTACATGGCGGATGATGTTGGAAAGTTTGATATACATTGTTAGGTCCATTTCTTAACAACTTAAGCTTTTGGGACAATTAGTGATTTAACAACAAATGTCAATGATGTCAAATATACAACACTTCATTATCCCAGATAAGAGAGCTCACTAACAAATTAGTACAAAGTGAAATTCCCTATACAGTATTGAGTATTGATTATGGCTCACTCAACTGAACAAAGCCTTAAATCTCAGAACTTTAATTTGCTGTTTGTATTACAACTAAATTGAATAAAACAGAAGTGCTCATGCCAACTCTAACTAGCTGTTTGATTTTAGCCAGTCTTTAATTTGCAATTATCAATTGGCATGTGTTCTATATAAGCTACACAAATTATTCACAATATAGCCATCTCATCCATGCGGGTATATTTCGATTACTGCCAAATCCTTCGTTCAAGAGGCAGTATGGGTAGACAAATGCCAAGATGTCAAATTAAATCACTTCCATGATCCCAAATATGAAAACTCAATAATAAATTTAGTAGAATGTGAAATTCCCTATACAGTATTGATATTGATTATTGATTATGGCCCACTCAACTGAACAAAACCATAAATCCCACAACTCTAATAGGTAGTTTTTATAGCGAACGAATATAACAGGAGCAAAGATGCTATTGGTGACAGGTGAAAATGAGTTAAGCAGAATATGTCAACAAAAATGCTAAAGATTGGAACAAATTATTTGAGCACCAAATACACATACCTGAGTTTCCAGGTTCTCAAACTCTGCTAAAACTTCCTCTTCATCTTCCGCAGAAAGTTTCTCACCCAAAATTGCATTAATTTCCTTCAAGATGCATAAAAGAGGACGTCAAGAATTAAAAATCTCAATTTTATCCCAAGAAAGGAAAGCAGATAAGAATAAACATGTTGACAATTATTAATAGATGAAAAACATGCCAGAAACAAGAACAAGGTACAGAGAGAGAGGGGTGCAAAAAAAGAGAGTGATATGTTAAATAACCATATCAAGAAGCATCATTTGTTAGTTATCAAGGGAAAAAAAAAAATAATAGTTAAACCATCATTTGTTATTCCTACAATGAAAATCTGAGATAAGATTTGCACAATCACCAAATTGCTCCAGATTAATCCATGATAAACCCTGGATTACACAACTTATCTAAGCTTTTTGAAGTGCAAATACACCATCAACCTAAAACTCTAGTCTTAGGCAACTTTTATTTCCTTCTCTCTCTTTCTCTATCTTTTTTCTTTGGGTAAGTCAGATGCTAGTCAACTCTTTCCATAGATACAAAACTCTCACACAACTTTGCATTGGAAGGGTCACAATAGAAGTCATCCGAGCTCTATCCATTTCACCAACCAAAATTGGACCGCTCCATGCACCATGCCTGTAGGAGTTGGTGCAGGTGAAGCGAACACCCTTTAGTTCAATACTTTCTCCCCCAAATTGTAAGAGCAAATCAATAGCAGAAGAACAATGGTTCACCAAATGCAAAGGTCTTTTCATTGTTCAAGCTTCTGAAATTAGTTCAACCTATATGTGCTTTTCTAATAATGAGAAACTTCTTAAACAGAAAGCACATATACTTTGTACTTCAACATACTAACAAAAGTTTATCTAGGAAAAATGTTCACCCAAAAAGAATTTAAAAAAAAAAAGGTCTTTAAAAGAATTAAACACAAAAAACAGCAGTATATACTGTATACTCCTTGCATACACAAACTTTGGTCACTCACCAGTAGTGGAGAAAAATAAACTTACCAAAAACTTATTTCACTTTTTAGTGGATCAAAAAATCATGAATTGAGCAAGATTACAAGATCTTCTATGAAGTGAACGATAAGCGAGGAAATATAAAGGAAAGACACACTCACATCTTGATAAGCTTTAGCTTCAGCAGTATCATCCATCAGTTTCTGAACATCCTCCAAGTTGATCTCACTTTGTATTGCTTTCATTGCATTATTCCCTGCTTTCAAACTCTCAAAAACAGCCTTTTGCTTGCTTGCCAGTTCAATATCTGCCAACTAAACCAAATTGTACATCAAGTACCTGTTTTATGAAAATACATGATGCGGAACGGCCATACACTGATTATTGGTGTAGATTTTATTAATAACTTTATAATTTTATTTATGTCTTTACTATTTTATTTAATTCATTTATATTTATAGTTTAATCAGAATCATAGAATATTTGGCTTCTTATTTAAGTAGATTAAGTTTCCAATAATATTATGATTTAGTTTCCTACTTGAACTTAGGGTCTTGTGGCCTATATATATATTAGATCTTTGCAATGTAATAGCCAGCTTTGTATTAATGAATTGAGAGTGTTTTAGACTATAGCCGTGTTAGGGCAGTTGCCCTCTTTTTCTTCTCTATCTTCTCTTTCTCTATTATTGGGTACTACTTCTCTTTCTTTATTGTGTACTGCATCAATACGTAAATCATGCAAAGGGTGTAAACAAAGCATCAAACAATAAATACAGATATAACTACAAAATAAGTAACTGAACAAAAGGAATGGCTTGATTTTATTATAAAATAAATTACTTACTTGCTGCTCAACATTAATGAGGTAGGCATCAACTTGTTTCAATAATTCCTCTTGCACCTTCTTCTTCTTCAATGCTAGTAAGGCTCTGTCTTTCTTCTTTTCACGGAGCAAGTCCCTTGCAGCTTGCTTTTCAGCTTCAATTACAGCATCCAGCTGAAAGAAGTAGATGACAGGAATTGGAGCATTATGTGGAGCTTGCAGAGAGAAAACAATATGCGCATTTTAAAGGAAACAGGGTTAGCAATTCAAAAACAAAAGACGAGTATTTTGCATAGTTTTATTATTTATTTGCTTTTGCTTAAAGGATTTTTTTTTTTTTTTTTTCCTCGTGAATCCTCATTTGTTCTTGTAGATTTTGTAGGTGGCTTCAATTTCAATGTTGAGCCGGACTTCTTAGTTTTTGTACAAAGGTTGTGCCCCTTCTGGCACTCTTTTTCTAGTACAATACTAACTTATCATTGTCAATATACATATACACATACATATACATCAAATAACATCAGATGCTACTGTGTTACACTATCCTATACAATAAACCCTCAAGGAAAGGGAAATTCAGAGATCATTATACAAGGTAGTTATCTTGAAAAAGGTAGCCGAGAATCCATTTCTTTAGAATATCCTAGGGTCACCTGACATATATACTCCTTTTCTTCTACATTTTAAAATCCCAAACATACATGCCTTACTTAACGTAGGGTAATTCCTCCAATTCAGCTTGCAAGGCATACGCAGTTCATGACATTCAACTAACGCTTCAAATGTAATCGCCAAAAATATTGATATCACATACTCTGCGCAAGCAAATCATGATAATGCCTCTAAATAATTTAGAAATGACTACAACTAATCAAAATATCTTGAATCCAACAGGCTCCCATCTCCTCCAATATTGTATTTATCTCACTTCAGAACAAAACCCATATTTTTTTACGCATTTCCTCTTTAACCAACATCAACCACCTAGAGAATTGGGACTAGCTCAGGTACATAATTCTCCAACAATGATCAAAATTATCCCTCACCAGGGCAACTCTCAATTAATTCCTATTCTAACACCATGGAAATCAACACAATTACCTCATTCCAACCACGTTTCGACCTCATAGCCAGTTGAGATCTTCAATCAAGATTAAACCCAGAAATTAAAAGTGAACAAATTTCAAAATACAGTACCTTTCGCTGATAATCGGCAAGCTTACGCCTCTGGGTCTTGAGAGAGAGGATTGCTTTGTCGACATCGGTGACCTTGGGTTTCTTCACGAATAAGTTCCCCATTTAAAATTTACTCTCAGAACAAATACGAGAAAATCACCGATTGCAACAGCGATTCCAACTCTGTTAAGGCAACGAATAGAGAATAGATCGGATCGAGTGCTTGGGAAACCCTAATAGAGCTGCCGCATCGCTGTCAAACTCCTCCTCTGAAGCTTCTTCTTCCTTGGTTAACAGATAATTGTATGTATCTATAAGCTGTATATACGTATAGAGAGAGAGAGAGAGAGAGAGAGAGAGAGAAGAATTTGATGAGTCGAGAACCAGATTGAGCTTTGGAGGCTCCTAAAATCCTCTCTTTGCACACCGGTCTTCGCCGGAGGACGGAAAGGCAAAAGGCCAAAAACAAATCCCCTGCATGTTTTTATTTTTTTTATTGTTTACGCTTTACATCAAATTTCACTTCATTCTCTATTATATGAAATTGTCATAATTAACTCTCTACGGGTCTGATTTGACTTTAGGCTAAGTTTGGGGAGTCAAAAAATTAAAAAATTATTCAAAAAGTTAAAAAATTATCACTAGTTATCAAAAGTCAACAATTATGGTTGCATAATTTCTAATACTAATTTTCTCCTACACATTAATTTATACAATTTTTTAATACACATTTTTTCATAAAAAGTCAAAAAGTTGACCTAAATATTCATATTTTCAACCTCAACTTTTTAGTCTAAAAAGACAAAAAGTACACTTATTTAAAATACCCCAAACAACCCCTTAGTATCTACATATAAAATTGCGGTAATCAACACCTTACACTTCTAATCAAATATCAATTTCTCTCTTATGCTACTCCATTGTTTAATTTTTTAACGGAATTCAGTTATGTAACAAGCATGTGACTATGAAATGAAGGTAAGAGAAGAAAATCATCTTTATTTTCAACTAATATACACTTTGTCTCATGTAATAAGCATGTAAGAGTTATATAATATAATACAAAATAATAATTGAGATCCCTACAAAAACTCAACCCCCACAACCCCCACATTGAAATAGAGGAAAAAAACAAAAAAACAAAAACAAAAACACACTTGGACCAATCACATACATTTAGGGGGTCATGGGAGTCCCCAAATTGGGGGTCCCAAGCTTTTTCCTACAATATATGTGTTTATATGTTGAAAATTGAGACAAAGAGGTAAGATACCCCCCTGAGGTTTGAGAAATTACGAATTCCCCCCTGAATGCTATATTTGCATAAGAAATTAGGGGGTAATTTGTTATGAAATATAAACCTCAGGGGGTAAATTGTTATGAAAATACAAACCTCAGGGGGCGGGATGTAATTTCTGAAACCTCAGGGGGTATCTGTAATTTAGCCAAACCTCGAGGGATGTATATGTAATTTGCCCAAAAATGAATCCCCTGTATGTTTTTTATTTTTTTATTGTTTACGCCTTACATCAAATTTCACTTCAATCTCATATATGAAGTTGTCATAATTAACTCTCTACGCTTCTGATTTGACTTTAGGCTAAATTTGAGAAGTCTTAAAAAAAGTCAAAAAAAATTAAAAGGTTATTTAAAAAATTAAAAAATTATTACTAATTATCAAAAGTCAACAATTACGGTTGCACAATTTTCAATACTAATTTTCTCTTACACATTAATATATACAATTTTAATACATATTTTTTCATAAAAAGTCAAAAGTTGACCCAAATATTCATATTTTCAACCTCAACTTTTTAGTCTAAAAAGACAAAAAAGTACACTTATTTAAGACACTCCAAACAACCCCTTAGTATTTACATATAAATTTGCGGTAATCAACACCTTATACTTCTAATCAAATATCAATTTCTCTCTTATGCTACTCCATTGTTTAATTTTTTAACAGAATTCAGTTATGTAACAAGCATGTGACTATGAAATGAAGGTAAGAGAAGAAAATCATCTTTATTTTCAACTAATATACACTTTGTCTCAAAGGTAAGAGAAGAAAATCATCTTTATTTTCAACTAATATACACTTTGTCTCATGTAATAAGCATGTAAGAGTTATATAATACAATACAAAGTAATAATTGAGATCTCTACAAAAACTCAACCCCCACAACCCCACATTGAAATAGAGGAAAAAAAACAAAAAAACAAAAACAAAAACAAAAACACACTTGGACCAATCACATACATTTAGGGGGTCATGGGAGTCCCCAAATTGGGGGTCCCAAGCTTTTTCCTACAATATATGTGTTTATATGTTGAAAATTGAGACAAAGAGGTAAGAAAATAGAATTTTTGAAATAAGAAAATGCAGAAAATTTAAAGGGAAATAAAGAGGAATATACAGAAAACTACGTTACTATGGAAAATAGAGTTTCATGATTCTAATTTTTACAAAATCCTATTCATCTCTTTGATCATTTCTAATCTGTGTTTTATTTTAACCAAATATAGTCAAAATTTGATGTAAATTTGAGATGAAATGTGTATAGATAAAAAATTTGAATGATTTTCCTCTTTTACCCTCATTTTGTAGTCATATACTTGTCATATTGCGGACTTCTGTTAATGACTTATACAACATTGACACTTAACCAGAAGTGTAGGGTTGCTTGTCATGATTTCATAAGTATAGGAGGTTTTTTTTTATCATAGAAATGCCCGAAGGCTACAAAGAAATGCCCGAAGGCTACAAAGAAACATCCGCCAAAAGCAAAGCCGAGAGAGCAGCAGGAGGGGTAGAAACCCAGTTAGAAGGCAGAGCTCCATGAATATGAGCTCGTGCTACCCAGCGAGCTACTTCGTTTGACTCCCTAGGAATCCAAGCAAAGGAAACTTGGGAAGAAGAAGACACAACCTGAATATCATGTAGGAGTGCAACAATGTCCCAGGGAGGAACCATCTCAGAAACACAAAGGGTGATCACTTTTTGGCTGTCACTCTCCACTTGAAGATTCAAAAGACCCAGAGCTTGAAGAAACATGCAAGCAAGACGAATAACATGAGCTTCTCCTTGTTTAGCTGAAGAAAAGTAGGCTATAGAGGTCGCACCATCAATTAGTTTCCCGTGGCTATCTCGCAGAATGACAGCCAACACTGCTCTACCATCCGAAGAAGAGAAGCTGGGATCACAGGAAACTTTCATACAGCCAGGAGGGGAGCTATCCAACGAGGGAGAGAGCGATCTGGAATAGAATTCTGCTATGATGGAGGCCTGGGGTGGTGATGGGCTTGTTCAAATTCTTACCAATAAGCACGGGCTTGTTGAGAAACTCGATGAGGATCCACAGAGCATTGTTGAAAAACCCAACTGTTCCTACTTTTCCATATACACCAACCAACGATGGCCACCCTACTCACCATCTCTCTTCTGTCAAGCGCTTGAGAGCAAGATTGCATCAGAGATACGGTCCACTGGAGAGCTGAAGCAATCGGATCGGACCAATTCAAAGCCCCAAATTACATCCAAACCACACGGCTCTCACCTAGTCACAGTGGAAGAGAATATGCTCGATGGATTCAACACTTTCCTGATATACCGAACAGTTAGGAGAAGGAGCACACTTTCGCCGATAACCACTCTTGACTTCATAATTTCCTTTATTGGTATAGTGCCAGATCAGAGTATCCGCTTGACCCTCAGATAAGATAGGAATGACTGAGATATTACTAACATCCTCGTGATTGACAATCCCCAGAAGTTTGTCTCTGTCCCACACAGCGTGGGTCGAATTGATTACATCCCCAACCCACTGAACTTGGCAGCCATCTAGTTTCAAACTGGCCGGTTTAAAATGTGGAGAATAATGAATCCAACGGTCCTTCTAAAAATTAATGGACTGACCATTACCAACTTGCCACCAAAGGTCTTTACGAAGGAGATCCCTCCCTTGGAGAATGCTCGACCATGCCCAAGATGCCTTTCTCCCCCTTCCAGCTGAAAGAAAATCCGAAGATGGAAAATAAATTCCCTTTAGAAGTTGGGCACAAAGGGAGTTGGGAAATTTAAACAACCACCAAGCTTGTTTAGCGAGAAGGGCAAGGTTGAAAGCTCTAAAGTCCTGAAAGTCCATACCTCCATGAGACTTGGTGAGAGAGAGTTTGGCCCAACTCGCCCAGTAGATGCCTCTATCCTCCGGGTTGCCTCCCCACCAAAAGTTGCGGGTGTAGGAGTTAAGTTGATCGCTGAATTTTTTTGGGAGCATGAAATAGGACATTGCATAGGAAGGAATTGCTTGGACCACCGCTTTCACAAGGGTTTCTCTACCGACTTGTGATAGTAATCTCTGCTTCCACCCTTGCATTTTCTGAATAGCTCTATCTATGAGACAATTATAAGCTTCAGACTTTGATTTACCCCAACTAGAAGGAAGCCCAAGGTATTTAGAAGTTTGTTGGGTAGAGGAGACGCCCAAACTGCTGCAAGTATCTAGACGGGTCTGAGCTGGAGTGTTAGAAGAAAAAGCAATCCCATACTTGTCCAAGTTAATGAGCTGTCCCGAAGCTAAGCAATAGGACTCCAAGGTTTGTTTTAAAGCTAGGCATTCCTTTGCTTCAACCTTGGCAAAAAGTAATGCATCATTAGCGAAAAAAAAGTGTGTCAATGGCGGGCTACTGTGCTTGATCTTAAGGCCCTTGATCCGACTTTCGTAAAGGCTCTTGGTCAGAGAAGCAAAGAGGACATCAGCAACCAGAACAAAGAGATACGGAGAAAGGGGATCACCCTGCCTCAAGCCTCGAGTGGGGATAAAGGAAGCACGTTTCCTCCCATTAGCAAAGACTGAGAAAGACACCGTTGTAACAACTGCCATAATCCATTGAATCCAAAGACCAGCAAACCCCATCCTCTCTAAGAGGGCAGATAAGAAATCCCATTGAACTCGGTCATAAGCCTTATTAAAATCCAGCTTCACCGCCATTGCACAGTCGACCCCTCTCTGCTTAAGTTTCAAATGGTGGAAAACTTCATGGGCTATAAGAATATTGTCTTGGATCATACGGCCGGGAACAAAAGCTGACTGATGGGGAGAAACCACCTGTTGGAGAATAAGTTTAAACCTATTAGCCAAAATCTTAGAAATGATTTTTAGATTGAAATTGCACAGATTGATGGGACGATATTGAGAGAGCTTGACTGGATTTGAGACCTTGGGGATAAGAACCAAGTTAGTTTGGTTCCATTCTCAAAGAAGATGCCCATTCTCAAAGAAGCTCCGAATTGCCTTGGTCACTTCCGCCTCAATCACATCCCAATACTGGTGGTAAAAAATCCCAGAAAAACCATCAAGGCCAGGGGCTTTCAAAGGGACCAACTGGAAAGCTGCCTTTTTTATCTCCGAGTCAGATACAGGTCTTGTGAGAGTATGATTCATTTCGGGTGTAACCGAATGCCGAACCCCTTGCAATACAGCATCCATAGTCTTTGGA